CCTTATAGTTCCTACTTTTCCCACTGTTCTCTTTTCTCGCTCCTCCAGAATAATCTGTATTCAAGTATTATAATATTTAGTCCTGAATGTATGATTGCATTACGGTTGATTGAAAATTCTTCAACCTCTTATTAATAATCAGAGTCGAATATATTATATTCGCTAAACGCATAATAAAATTAATGCTTGATTACAATTTTACAAAACAATGTACATTAATACTCATTTGCGTTACCTATATTCTAAATATTATATGCATCTATGTAGTAAGTTTCATCTTTTGTGTTGTAAATTTCTTAACTTTTTTAACAGTGTATAACTCAGACAGAACTTGCATATTGTTGAAATGTATTGCAATATTACTGTAATATTTCTTGAATATTCCCGAATACTTGCAATGCGCTCGCAAACACGAAAGGACGTTGCAAACATAATATAATATTGCTGGTCAATATTTGTAAAATATCAGTTCGCAATATTAATTATTTATAACATATGTATCCTGCATATTGCTTAGTTTTTTCTCAATATTTTAATACGTTTCAGGAATCATTTTTTTATTAGCAGCATTTTATTTAAAAAATGTTACCATAACCTTTTAAAATATTTGAAAAAAAATGATATGGAATCATTTCAAATGTTACAAAAATATTAAAAAGCAATCGCTTTTAATATGGAAAAAAAATGTTCGAATGAATATTTGCTAAATATTTTTTAAATAATGAAAAATAATCATTTTATAGGTACTGTTCTGAAATATTTCTGCCACCTATAAAAACTGTCTATGATTTCAGCAATATATCAGAAAGTTTTATTTATTATATTGCCCTGAAATATTGTGCAATACTTGACATAAAGACATCAATAACATTGCTGTCGCAACGAAATATTGGAAATTTGTTGTAATATTTTCGAAATATAGTGTGCTGTGTGGGATATACACCTATAGTTCGCATGCAATTTTATAAATATAAGAATTACTCGAGCCAGCTATTGCAATCTGTCAATCATATTATCAAAGCTGCTGCGCGAAGCGCGCCGCTCAAAGTCGGCAATCAAAAAAAATGAACACGCCATTGCCAAGCTATCTCAATAATTACGAGTAATTGAAACTCGCATATTTAGGTATCAAGAGACGCGGTAGCGTCTCGACGCCAAGTATAAAAGAAAAAATCGGCCTCCTCACGATGCGCTACCGCTACTCTTATTGACGCCAAGTTGGCGTTTTTTCGTCTGCTACGATGAAATAACTTGAATTATCTGCGGGTATATGTCGTGGGCGAAAAATGTGTCAGGTCCAATATGTTTTATTTTTTTTTCCTTTACAATGAGCCTTTGCCCAATAAAATCGGTTCCCGTAATGCTGATATCTGGCATTTTAGCAATATCAGTCGAAAAATTTTTCTCAATTTGTCCCCTCTCACACAATCTTAAAAAATTTGTCCCCTCGCATATACGTATGAGCTTCGACGCGACACAGGCATAACGATTCGAGACGCGCATGCGCAGCGAGCCATTGAACACGTGTAGTCTTCTGTTAATATGGCCTCGTTTTTCGCTCTGATTGCTCATTTATGTCAAAGAATGCTCCATGAATTTGCTATATAGGTACTTTATATTTAATAATTATAATTGTCTGTCGAAAGGACTTCAGTTGATTGAAATAGACAGTTGTCTGAATAAATTCATTCAAAATAGACAGCTTATCATATTTAAAGAATTAATGCTATGAGATGTCTAGATGGTTAACTTGTAGAGCATACTTTAAAAAACTGAGTGAGCTTTATCGCATTAAAATAGGTAGAGAATTACAGACTTCTTGCAAAATCTATTGCTACTTTAAAGTTTTTCTGGGTTAAGGACACACAACGTAACACCACTCTGTCTTATTCATGACTAAGCTGGACTATTCATTTTTCAGCGGATACATAATGTATCCTGTCTACGATGGCTTTTGGTAGGAGACCAACTTTCTGACAATAACCATCACTTTTGCTTAACATCAGAAAAAAAAGTATAAGTAATTGAAAATGACTGGACGCAAGAGTCAATTTGCTTGAGACTAGGATTTAAATTGCATTTCACCTTCTGCTCGGCAAATTCATTGCATTTGATACTTTTTTCTTAGCGTTGAGTAAATCAAGAACATTACAGTCCAGGGTAGTTCGAATAAACATGTCGTCTACAAAAATATGAGCTTTTCTATTATTCACCTGTATAGTATACAATGCTGGCATAATGAGGTAACGTTGCGTAAGATTCTTTTATGCGTCTCTAGATTTTATCATCCCAGTGCCTATAACCAGGCTGTTCAAGCTTTTTAGCTGCTATCTCATCAAATGTTATTTTTAACCCTAGTTTCAATTAATCCTCGTAACCCGGGCTCAACCCCAGCACTTACTTCTTGATCGAGAAAAAAATTTCTAACGATTTATAGAAATTTCGATTAATTTTCTTGTTGTCAGCTGTTTCAAATATTAGACGAAGTATTTTGTAAAATTTTTACCGCAATCTGCGTCTCTTGTTATACATTTAGTAGTGTCTACTCATCTTTATTTTTACTGTTTACTGTGAATTAACTTTTTTAATCATCACTGAGATATATGTAGAATGAGTTTGTTTAATTTTTTCATGATGTTCTTACTTTCAAAAAGATATCAAATAACACCAAAAATGTTTTTTCAAAACAAAACGGTTACGCCAAGTATTAAAAGTGTAGCCATTTCATAAAAAATAAACAAGCAAAAATATTAAATCAAATCCAATAAATTAGCCAAGCAAAAATCCGGTGGTGTACTGGTATGTGTGAGGCACGGCCCGGCGAGAGGGCACGACAAATGTAAGAGCGTGCGAACGAGTCAGTCATTGAATTCGACGCTCAAGCACACACGGTCTCCGTCAATGATAAATCGGAGGAAACAAAGGCTTTTGGTTGTGGTCAAGGGAGCCGATTTGTTCGCAGGTTTCTTATATAAAGCTATGAATTTGTTGCTGTCCTTACTTCAATGGACCATATATTGGAGCTAGTCGCTGGCACACCAAGTTTTTTGTAGAGAAACATGTACGTCTATTAAGCATCTACCTAGGAGATTGTAATGTACGGGAAAGGTCTTAAGAAACCTGCGAACAAATCGGCTCCCTTGACCACAACCAAAAGCCTTTATTTCCTCCGATTTATCATTGACGCAGACCGTGTGTGCTTGAGCCTCGAATTCAATGACTGACTCGTTCGCACGCTCTCATATTTGTCGTACCCTCTCGCCGGGCCGTGCCTCACACATACCAGTACACCACAGGATTGTTGCTTGGCTAATTTATTGGATTTGATTTAATATTTTTGCTTGAAAATTTGCTCATTTGCACAATTTTATAAATTTATTTAGACTGTTTTACGTTACATTTTCATCACATTCAACTACATTCAACCAATAAGCAAACCAGTAAAAGCATCTCTTGTTAATTCATTGGTTATGTTTCCATCGGAGTCGCCATGGAGACTAGAGTAGAGGAGTCCCATCTCTGTACATAAGGTATGATACCGAAAAGCTGTTAAATTGAGGTTGCCCGAAACGACACATGCGGCGCTGACTCCGCTAGTGAAACCGCCGATGGTGGAGAGAGTACCAGCTTAAAGTACTCTGATACCAGAGATGAGTAGGGAGATTGCCAATGAGCCTGTTTCTGGTGGTCTCAA